GACAGTCATAAAGGCACTGATACTAAAATAGCAGGGCTCCAGAGCAGCCACCAGCCACAAGCCAAATGAACAGGGCCCTTCGTAATTCACCCCTTCGCTTTCACTGTAGAAGCAGTGGGGTGGAGTTGTTATTTTATGGGATATATATCTGCGACTGCTGCTATCAAAATGATCTCTTCTTAATGGTTCGTTGAATCCCAGTGGTCCGGGTAGTTTTGGGGACATAGCTGCAACTAAGAATAAATAAGTAAATTATATATAAAGCAGAACCAGTACCAATGAGCAAGGGGTCTAAAGGCAAGGGGCGTGGGGAACCAGAGTAGGAGCCTGGAGGTCCAGCTTAAGTTCGGCTCTGCCACTGGACCGCAGTGGGCCAGGCTCCTCTCTCCTGAGCCCACCATTCCTCAGAGCCTGGCCAGAGCAGACTGCAACCTGGTTTATGTGCGGGGGGATATGAGAGCTGGGTGGCCAAGCTGCATGGTGGTATGAGAGCTGCTGCTGCGGGACCCAATGACATGCTGGCTGTCAGCATCTCACAGGGGTGCTGCTGGCTCCCCTATAACCCTGTGTCTGCTGTCTTGCTGCCAAGTCATGTGTTGCTGTTAAGAGCTGTTCAGTAGTGATACCTGTTAGTTTTGAAATACAGTCTGCACCTTTTGATTCTGTGGCACCCATTTATTTCGCTGGATTCCATAGGTGAAGCCCACTTTTATTGCTAGTGCAATGTCAGGGCTGACATTGCCTGTTTTCCTTGCTACAAGCAAGCTGCCCTGCCAGTATTTAAGACATCTCCTTCCCTTCTTTGTAGGCATGGAGCCCAGCTGCTGAGCACACACTTCAGTCTCCCTCTGTGCAGGGCCCTGAGAGAAAGACTGAGTAACAAAGGAGTGCAGCCAGCATGGCTAACTGGCAGCTGGAGTCTCCCAGACAAGTTGCTTGCATCATTTCCAGCAGAGTCTCTGGGCTGAGAAAAAGGGGATAAATGAAATGTGTGCCCACCATGTACTCTTCTGCTCAAGGCTCCCAGGTGCCAAAGTGCCAGGCCTTGGGCATGGCACTCAGAGCCAGCAGCATCCTTCCCGGTTTACCTTTTCTATGCTCCCTCTCTCTAAAAAGTTGTGGTGAACATACATGCATTTGCAACTGAGGAAAAAGTAGTTTATGGGCTGCAAGCCCTGTATGTGGGTGGGAATGGTGTGCAGCAGCAAAACCTCAAAGAGGTGGCACATATGTATGTCCATACACGCGTGTGTACCTGACGGGATCTGTATTAAAACAGATCGTGACCTGTGATGTACCTTGGTGACCCTCCTTCCTTCTCAGGGTCTTGGCCCACTGATGTTTGTGAGTTACCATGCAGCAAAGGAGGAGGTTGCTGCGCCCAGCTGTCATCTGCCCTTGATCCTGAAGTAGCTCCCCTTGCAACCAGAGCAGCTTCATCATTTTTGAATCAGCTCCTGCACTGCCATAGCTCACAGCCCAGCACATTAAGGTGAGCTGGCACAGACTGCAGTTTGCCTTAATGGACTGTGGCCATGCAAGGGAGGCTTTTCCAGCAGCTAAGCTCTCCCTGCCACACAGGTAGCCTGCTGTGGAAGTGCAGTGGGATGGACACAGCCCCAGCTTCATCTGTCAGTGCCTGAAAGCTGGCTGTCAATCTGAGGTCAGTGAGCTGGCGTGCTGCAGGGAAGCACAAGGATTTCCACGTGCTTCCTGCAGAGCAGGGCCAAGCTTGAGGAGCCCCTTGGCCCAGGTCCCCACCATGGTCAGCACAGGGTGTGTCGACAGCACCAGTCAGCGATGAGGGCTGTCCTCCCAGTTGTTAGGAAGGAAGCAGTTGTGATTTCCTTTTTGGGAAAACTGGGACATAAAAAGGTAAAGGGCTACAGGTCAGGAAGAAGGGACTTGAAG